CGAAGACGTAATATTTGGTACCCTCCTTTTGATGCGGTGAACACAGGGTGCGCCGAGGAACGCGCAATCTTTTGCAACTCCGTACCTCTGCTTATCGCAGAGTATGTCTTCGAGCGTTTGTTGTACAACCAGTCCGAACACAATTTCTTTACAGTACTCGGAAACTCCTACTGAATTGTGGGCGTTTCTAGCGGAATTGTAACGCCTCACCACCGCAAGAAGTGGATAACAAACCTACAGAAAGGACGAGGTCGCGATTACCCGTTTTAAACGTCTTGGCAGTGAGGTTGATCAAGAGACGTGGCGAGGGGTGCTTAGTGTATTCTCGGTATAGGTATAAAGGAGATGGCAGAAAAATTCGAATAAAATTTATTCTTCAGTGTAGTCCCCCATAAAACCAACAAAACATAGTTTTCCTCGTTGTCTCCAAAATGTGCGTTATTTGCCGCCTTCAGCTCTTCATCGTTTCCGAACGCTTTCCACGAAGATTTTTTTAGGTTGGGGAACAAGAAGTAATCACTAATCATTTTCTCAATTTTCTTTTCATTTTTCAATCTTTTTTTAATCAGTAATCATTTTCTCAACATTGTCGCATCAGTCGTTCTAGTACCATGGATAACTAGAATACCATTGATGATAACTGAATGAAATTTTGTATTTATACCCTCAGGGAGTGTCGTCACCTATTGAAATGATTTAAATTCCTTTGTCACTGCTAAATTATCCCGACACCGAGAATACTTTGAACGGCACCGTACGTCGTTGGCTTACCCTGAAAAAAAAGCCGATGAAGCAGTCGAAAAACCATGAATACAGTTCTTTTCTCAGCGAGAGGGGAAAATTCTTCAGGGTTTCGAGCGAGACCGGAACAAGGTGGCCTGTTACCGCCTACACTATCTTCCACACACGATCATGATTCGTATGAGAAAGTGCGAATCGTGCTTTCAGCTTCACGTCCAAGAGGTTAGATGGGCAAGTCAAAGGTCGCAATTGCGAGGATCTGAATGACTGGCCTCTTGCTCAGCGAACGCGGTACTCTGGGAGTGATACAGTGATGTTTACCGCGGATGATGGGGCGTGTCAGTGCGGCTGAGTTTGGCCCGTTCTTCACCAGTTCTTGAAGCGGGTAAGCGACAACGGTTGATGGAAACGCGAAAGATACGATACAGTTTTGTAGCTTGCCATCTTGCAAAGCTAGCCAAATAATGGATGTTCACGTTCAATTTTTCGACTTTCAGGAGAAAACCTCAGTAACTTCCACGAAAGATAAACTCACCCTTCATATTCGTTCAAATACTTTCCCAGATAGGCGGTATGATAACCGGCCTCCTTCATATAGACGCCTATACTTCGATGCTCGTGAGTTTTCCTGAAAATGACACAAATTTTCTGAGAGGACCAAAATCAAGTGGTGTGATGTGCACTTGTGTCTAACAATAAGGCAGGGGTGGTGCGGGTCTGCGACAAGCAATCAAATGACATCACAATCATGCATAGAGGTTACATTTACGGCGCGACCTGGATCTCCTCTATTTTCTATACTAGCGACCTCCTGTGCTCTTGATGTTTATTTTGATTACATCGGTACAGTAGTTCCTATGTTTACAGTGAATGCTGCTTCCAAAGCCTGGGATGACCTATTGCATATTTTTTTCAACCTCATCAAAAGCTGAATATCATCTACAGTCTCGTCGGATGTGGATGATGAGACATGTCATGGGGAAGGGTTTGGCGCAGCGCCACACCGTTTCTTTTCTTTCCTTTTCTTTCGGCAAGCTACAAAACCGTATCGTATCTTTCGCGTTTCCATCAACCGTTGTCGCTTACTCGCTTCAAGAACTGGTGAAGAACGGGCCAAACTCAGCCGCACTGACACGCCCCATCATCCGCGGTAAACATCACTGTATCCCATTCCCGACTCCCAAAGTACCGAGTTCGCTGAGCAAGAGGCCGGTCATCCAGAATCTCGCACTTGTGACCTCTCGCACTTTCTCATACGAATCATGATCCTGTGTGGAAGATAGTGTAGGCTGTAACAGGCCACCATTGTTCCGGTCCCGCTCGAAACTCTGAAGGATTTTCCCCTCTCGCTGAGAAAAGGAACTGTATTCATAACGGATAGCGCACTCGCCCGGAAAGCGTGAGGTGCGGGTTCGACTCCCGCCTGGGGCACGACTTTTGCCCATAACTCAGCATTCTGTGATAACTTTCGTAACGCGTACTGCGGCGTAAAACAGCAGTTATCTAACAAAACGACTTCAAAAAAAACTGCCTTTCATAGTTTTTCGACTGCTTCGTCGGGCTTTTTTTTCATGGGTAAGCCAACGACGTACGGTGCCGTTCAAAGTATTGTCGGTGTCGGGATAATTTAGCATTGACAAAGGAATTTAAACCATTTCAATAGATGACGACACTTTCTGAGGGTATAAATACAAATTTTCATTCAGTTATCATCGATGGTATTCTAGTTATCCATGGTACTAGAACGACTGATGCGACAATGTTGAGAAAATGATTTTACTGATCAAAAAAAGATTGGGAAAAATGAAAAGAAAATTGAGAAAATGATTAGTGGTCACTTCTTGTTCTCCAACCTAAAAAATCTTCGCGGAAAGCGTTCGGAAACGATGAAGAGCTGAAGGCGGCAAATAACGCACATTTTGGAGACAACGAGGAAAACTATGTTTTGTTGGGTTTATGGGGGACTTTACTGACGAATAAATTTTATTCGAATTTTTCTGCCATCTCCTTTATACCTATACCGAGAATACACTAAGCACCCCTCGCCACGTCTCTTAATCAACCTCACGCCCAAGACGTTTAAAACGGGGTATCGCGACCCCGTCCTTTCTGTAGGTTTGTTATCCACTTCATGCGGTGGTGAGGCGTTACAATTCCGCTAGAAATGCCCACAATTCAGTAGGAGTTTCCGAGTACTGTAAAGAAATTGTGTTCGGACTGGTTGTACATACAGCAAACGCTCGGAGACATACTCTGCGATAAGCAGAGATACGGAGTTGCAAAGATCGGCGCGCCCTATGTGTTCACCGCATTACATGGAGGGCACCAAATAGGACGTCTTCGGCTCTCATCTAGCCACTTTTTGCCAAATGTGCTTTTGAATAATAGGGATATATTTGGCGTATTCT